GACAATAAAAGAAAGTTAGAATTATCTTATTTTTTTAAAGAAAATTGGTTATTTTTCACTTTTAACACGGGGCTTCGCAGAATTGTCACTGTCAAGATTTGCTTGAAAAAATGCCATCCAATTCATGTTCACTTTCATTACCATGCAATTTCTCCTTTTTCCATTACTTTTCCTTTTTCTTTTCCATTTTCTAGGCACCTGGAAGGACCAAAGTGCCCCTGATCCTATCTAACCTTATCTGATGCATGTGGACTGGTTGGATAAGGATTGCTCTCAGGCTACCTCGCTCTTGTCGTCACGGGTTGCTCGTCGTCGAACCTCACCGCTGCCAGCGCAAGCCACCGCAGCTCTCCGCCCTAGCTTGCCCACGCCTGCGCGAGCAACCGTAGCTCCCCGATGGTGCTCACCCACGCTGATGCCCGAGTGAGCCACTGCGACTCGCCGCCGGTTCTCGTCCACGTCTGCAGGCGCCGGCGCAGTTCGTCCTTGCCTCGCGGATGCCTGCGCTAGATACCGCAGCTTGCTGCGGGTTCTCCCCCACGCCTGCGCGCGATAGCGCAGCTCTCTGCGGGTGCTTGCCATCCCCGCGGTTCATTGGCGCAGCTCGCCCTCCCCTGCTGGAGAAGTGTTCTAGTGGCGAGGGTTGTGCTGAATAGAATACGATGCCTTGTGCAGGTCCTGAACAAGTGGCGCGATGGCAGCAGCGGCCGGAGGAGGAGATGGATGTGTGTGTAGGTCCTGAAGATGTTGAATGCAAGCAACATGTAAGTCATGTTTGTTGTAATATTTTGCTTGATTATGGATTGTGATTTGGAAATTACATGAAGAATAGCATGTCAAGTCTGGTTTCACAGCCAGGATCAAATGAGCGACAATATGAAAAATGAGTAATATTGCAAATTTCAGGCCATAAGCTACTTGCTGCAATCTGTTTTGTTGCACTTGTTGTAGCTTATTCAAAGGCAGCAATGAAATTGTAGGTAGAAGTGGCACACATATGTAGCCCTCCGTACATTGGCAAGGGACACTTCAACCATGATTCATAGATGAATCTGAATTCACATCTCCCCCAAAAAAGTAAGGAATTCACATAATGATTTCATAAATAAAACTAAAATGAGTTCACAACGCCAAATATATATGAGCTCCCGGCTAGTATAAGCTCACGGCTCAGAGCAATTGAAGAAACTGAGTTCAAATAGAAGAAAACTACTTGATGAAATAAGTCTGGAACTCGCTGACAGGAACTTGATTTATGTTTAATAATATGGCGCGGCTGTGTGCATCATTTGATGTAGAGGCCGGGGTAATCCCCTTTTCGAAAATAAAGTAAGTATAACATCAATTTCATAGAGACCAATCATCCAATTTGTAGCTTTCTCTTTGATGTAAGCTTCTTTGCTGGATATGTGGGGTTTGGAATGAGAATAATGTTAGACAGTCCAATAAGCGGTATGTGATAGTAGGCCTTCTCTGTGTCAACGGCCAACGGGCAATATTAAACTCATCTTTGTCTAGAGGGACAGTTCAGTAACTTAGAGACGTACTAAACATTTTTCTCCTTAGAAAAGAAATTCCCCACTCCACAAACAGTTCTTCTTCTTTCAGGTTGGTGCATCGACGGAGTCAATACACTGGTACAACCCCAGCATGGAAGATACAAATTACTTCATATTTCTTGCTGTAATTTTAGTGGTGACTTCCGGGCAAAGCCAGGGCGGCTGCCTGACATTGTGGGGTCGATTAACATCTGCCACTGAGTCGCCGGATCTACCTATTATTACTTTCAATCCAGTAGTATAACACCCTGACTCATTCAGCTCAGTAAGCATCCTTTGTTCCCTTTCTTTTGGTTGTTTGAATCATTTGATTCCACTTTGTTTCCATCGCTGAGAAAAATTACCACCAATTAAATCGACCCGTGGTGATAATATATGTGATCAATTTATGTTTGTCATCCTCGTGTTCTTGTACGATTAACATCCATCATCTGTTTTTGGAATAAAGAAATATAACTACTCTATATATACTTTTCTGTCAGTTAATCTAATTGTTTAGCATCTGTTGCAATGAGTGACAAAGTTTTCTATTTAATTAAATAGAAAACTTATTTTCCTGATAGACCGCAATGTTATCTCTGCTGAGATTATTTAATCAAATTGTTTCTTGTTATCCAAAAAAGATTGCCACCATGGCTATACAGTAATAAAATGAATTTATTCATTGTTGCAGAGAGAACTGTCCAACACTACTTTCTTGTCAATTTTTGCATGTCCAGCCTTCTCAGAAGATGGCATTGGGCAGTTTACTTTCTGATGGAGACCACTTCTGATGCTACCTAGATTGGCCGATCTACTTTTTTCATCAGGGACACTACTATCCATTTCATGAGGAAGCACTCGGCATATCTGTTGTAGGATCACAATGTTCAGCCTGGCTTCTATCTTGTATCTGGCATGTAATATCTTTTTCATTGGTGCAAAACTGCAAATTTATCCAAATTGTGCTGCTAAAACAAAGTTCTTAATATGAGTTACCTATAATCATTAGGCGCTGCTTATATAATTTTTTTGACAGTAAGACTCATGGCACAGAATAGATCTAATACTTCTACCTGGAAAAGAAGCAACAGAGAAAATTAATTTGCTAGATTTGAAAGCACAACCCGGTATTTTAGTGTTTAGTGAATTGATAGCATCATCACAAACACCATACAAATAGAGGAATTTTGTCTAGTTAGCTAATAACAACATACATGAACAGATACACCGGGTGAAGTATGTGTGCATCACCCATCTGTGTAATACTAATCGCAAGTACCAAAATAAATTATCTTAGTTTTGTACAGAAAGCCCAACTGATGAAGCTAGCATAACTTCCAAAAGTCATTCTTGACAGGAACTCCCGTACTACTAACCTGAAAAAAGGAAAACGAAAAAAGATTAGTAAAATTCAGAAACAAACAAATAAGCAAAAGAGAAGTTTTCTTGAACCAAATTTTTTCTTCTAATTACCAACAGAGAATTGATTATGTCCTTGTTAAACCCAACTGGTGAAGCAAGCATAACTTCCAAAAGCCAGTCTTGGCAGGAACTCCTGAATCACTAACCTGAAAAAAGCATATCCATATAGAGATGAGAGCTGAAAAAAGCTCATCCACGGGTTGAACACTCGAGACTTCAGTTGTGCCTAACTATAAATAATAAATTGTGGTTGCTACATATAGGAGTGTTTCCTTCTATTTGTTTTCACATCAAAATCACCTTCTTGCTCGTCGTCGCTAATTTAAAAATGGAAAATATCAACCAAGATATAAGAGCAGTTACAGTAATCCACCTGATCTTGTCCACGGGATCAATTTTTGGGAAATGCAGATGCATCTCACGCCCAGAGATGAAGGTTCTCCTGACATTGTCATGATAGTACATGTCCCAGGCTCCCAGCAGCGGTATCCTATCATCTGTCCTCGTCAATGGTAATGGGGATAAAACATGGAAAGGTCTGTCAGTGGGAGGGGATGGCAAGGGCCAGCACGGTGTCCACTCTGCAGCCCTTGGCACCGGCCGTCGCCTTCCCTTCCGGTAGGCTGGCGATGGTTCCGTAAAGGAACGGAAGTGAATCGGCATGCGTTGTGTGCTGGAGCGGGGCTCCGCCACAACCTAGAAGGCGGCGACAACCATGGAGTTGCGAGTTGCTACAGGTGGCCGGCTGCTGCGAGTGGCCTGGACCGGCGAGGCGAAATCGAGGGTGCTCGCGGGAGAGGATGGGGAGAGGAAAACGAACTTGGTTGGGCCAGCGGGGACCGCTGGGTGTCATCGCCGGTGTGAATTCGGCCGCCGCCACGCCATATGGGCTCGATCCGGCCTCTGCGCCATGATTGGAGCGCCTGGCTGGGAGGAGGTGGGCGCAGAAGTGAAAGAGAGAGCTACGCCGACCGGCGCCAGGAAGGGGATGCGGCCCAGTGGTGAGAGCTCCGGCGATGCATCGGCCATCAATGAAGTCGGGAACGATGGGTTTTGCGTCGCCGAGAATCTGGGAGACGTGCGCAGTGAACTCAAGGGAACGGGACAAGAGCTTTTTATAAACGACCACGGCGGTGGAGCGGCGGCATGCTGTTGAGCGGTGGGCGGTGGAGGTGGAGCAACCACGGGATGCTTCGCGAGCCTTTGACAGAGAGGGACACGCAAAGAAAATTGAGAGGGAGAAACGGGAGTCTATGCAATAACCGCATCACCATAAATCGGCCCAGGCCAGTCAACACACACATGCAGGAAACAAATCCAAATCAAACAGACTGCCCCGGATCATTAGGAAATCCCTGAAGCCACCCCAAATGCACACACAAAAATGCGAATCAGTTAACAAAATTTACATCAAAAATCTACAGTCACAATGAATTTGTATACCCCTGTAGCCCAAATTAATACACGTGTCGGCAGCCCACACCTTCTCAAGTTGCTTTCATCCAAGTGGTGAAACGTGAAGGCAAAAACTTGGTTAGATATAGTGGTTTTGGTATATTCATGTTTTGAAACAATGTTCAGAAATTTCGAAATTTATTCAGTTCTTTGAAAATGTTCACAATTTTCAAATAAAAAGTTCACAAATGTTTTTAAAAAGTTATTTTTAAAAAAAAAATATTTTTTCTCGAAAATGTTTTAGAAATTTAAAAGTTTTTGTTTTTCCAGTAAACATTTCTTTCATTTAAATAAAATCTCGACTGGCCGAATTATGGGTTGCTCCCTGCCTAAACACGCCATCACTAACTAGGCCTTGTAGCCCACGAGAAGCTAGAACCCGTATAAGGATCCGAATAAAATCACCGGCCCAGACGGAAGATATTTGCCTCTCACTTCACTTGTGCGCAGGACGCGGGCACGACACCTTATCCGGTGCCTCTTTTTTTCGCGCGGGACGAAGCGAGCCAACGATGCGTCGCCACTCCTCCGCGCCTCTCCCACTCCCCACTCCTCCCCGCCGAGCCAACGGCGTCGGCGGCGATGCCGTCCCCCACGTGCTACCTCCTCCTGAACCCCTCCAGGACCTGCCACCGCCTCCTCCCGCCGTCTCCGCGCCTCCCCGCCCGCTGCGCCCGCCTCCGTGTCTCCTGCGACGTGCCGCGGCAGGGGGGTGACGACCGCGGCGGGCCCAAGCGCGGGGTCATCCCCGCCGGACCCGGAAAGGGCAAGAAGCAGGTCGTGTTCTTCGACGCCGCGCCGCCGGTGGCCCAGCAGGGAGACGGCGAGGATGGGAAGGGGAAGGCGCCGGAGGTGAAGAAGGACGGCGCGGCGCTGCGGGCGCTGAGGCGCGCCACCAAGCGGACGCTGTCGGTCCTGTCCAACCTCCCGCTCGCCATCACCGAGATGTTCGCCATTGCCGGCCTCATGGCCCTGGGTAGGGTGCTTGTTCCTCCTTCTGAATCGCGACACCACGCTGCTCATGTTTCCTCAAATGCTTCCGGGAAGCTCGTCTGCTTATGCTTTTTGGATTGCAATGGCAGGCACGGTGATTGACCAGGGAGAGGCGCCGAGCCACTACTTCGAGCAGTTCCCCGAGGACAACCCGGTGTTCGGCTTCATCACCTGGAGGTGGATCCTCACCCCCGGCTTCGACCACATGTTCTCCTCGCCGGTCTTCCTCGGCTTACTCGCGCTCCTCGCGGCGTCGCTGATGGCCTGCACCTTCACCACCCAATTGCCCATGGTGAAGGTGGCGAAAAGGTATGTATGTCCTCTTCATCACGAGCTCAATGATCAGACATCAGAGGAGAGGATCGACTGTTAATATCAGGTGCCAACGGCTGCTCATCTTGCAGATGGTCGTTTATGAGTTCAGGGGGAAGCATTAGGAAGCAAGACTTTGCGGAATCTCTTCCCCGCGCATCTATTCAGGATTTGGGGGTCATCTTGATGGGTGCCGGATATGAGGTGATTGTCACCTTCGATGCAATACATTTGCCCCCAAATTGTCGTTCTTCCCTTCTCAGCATGTTACATTAAAAATGTGCTTGATATGTTGCAGGTCTTTACTAAGGGCCCGTCTTTGTATGCCTTCAAGGGCCTTGCTGGTCGGTACGCGCCGATTGGCGTGCACGTGGCGATGATTTTTGTCATGGCAGGTGCCACGCTTTCTGCGACCGGAAGCTTTAAAGGCTCGGTGGATGTCCCCCAAGGACTGAATTTCGTCATTGGAGATATCATGAAACCCAAAGGCATTTTCTCAGTCGCACCGGATGTTTTCAATACTGAAGTCCATGTCAACCGGTTCTACATGGAGTACTATGATAGTGGAGAGGTAACCACTTTGCTCTGTAGTTTACTACACTTGTGTGCTCACGTGACACTAGATTGATAGATAAGCATATCTTCTGAATTTGTCAGGTTTCACAATTTTATAGCGATCTTTCACTTTTCGACCTTGATGGCAAAGAAGTAATGAGGAGGACGATCAAAGTTAATGATCCCCTGAGGTATGGTGGGATCACGATATACCAAACGGACTGGGGGTTTTCAGCATTACAGGTGAAGAAAAATGGTGAAGGACCTTTTAACTTGGCAATGGCACCCTTGCAACTGAATGGCAATAAAAAGCTATACGGAACATTCTTGCCACTTCAAGACTCTGATTCTTCAGGTGTCAAGGGAATGTATGTTCAACATTTTCCCTATCCTGAGCTAATAATGTAATTGAGATATTAGCTAGGAAATTATTAACCGCTTTTCTTGATAACTTGTAGATCAATGCTTGCTCGAGATCTTCAGTCTATTGTGTTGTATGATCAAGATGGCAAGTTTGTAGGAGTTCGCCGGCCAAGCTCTAAACTCCCTATTGAAATCAATGGCAATGAAATATTAATTGAGGATGCTATTGGCAGTACTGGTCTGGATCTCAAGGTCAGGACTATAAATTCAGTCTTTCCATTTTGAAGACATTTGTGCATGTTGCATGAACTACTAAATGTGCCTTGCATTTTCTTTTCCATCAGACTGATCCAGGAATTCCTATCGTGTATGCTGGATTCGGTGCGCTCATGTTGACGACCTGCATTAGCTATCTTTCGCATGCTCAGGTGTGTGCAAACACGCAACTTCCTCTTTCATGGTTGTCTTCCACAAGCACTGTATTAACTATTACAAATTTCTGGTTTACTTTGCTCTTAGTTATGGGCGCTGCAAGACGGAACTACAGTAGTTGTCGGAGGGAAGTCCAATCGAGCCAAAATTGAATTTTCTGATGAGATGAACCGGTTACTTAATAAAGTACCAGAGTTGGTTAGTGTTGGTGAGAAAACAGTAGATAATAAATCAAGTACTGCGTGAGGGATTCGTTTTGTTCGGTTGAGATTGCTGAAGACACGCAGGTGTTGAATTGAAGTTGGTTCATAGACAAGTCCCTCTCGAAGAACAGGAGATCTTACATTCTATTGGTGAAGACAATTCCTGTTGCAATTGGACTATGTATTCATCATTCAGGTCAAGTTTGCTTGCAAGGAATTGTACATTCTCATGGGTCTATGGTGTTATTGTATCAAAAGGAAACTGATGTTGTCACTCTATTAGGGCAGAACAAAGTGATAAATATAAATTATACCGTGAAGTTGAACCATTTGGTTCAGGTACTGAATTTTCAAAATTGCTGAAGCATGTGGTCTCTTACTTTCTTTGTTTGCGTATATTCATCGGAGGAGATCATGTTTTTTGAGATGCCTGATATCTTATCATCTAAAGCAAGAGAGTTCATGGACGAGCTTCGTTCGCTTGATGGGGGGATCTATGTGTGCCGAGGCAGTGGTGGTGGAGCAAGAATGGTTTATCCCAGTGGACCAGTTTTGTTTGGATGTGCCACATGGCGAGAATATGTTCAAAGTCTATTTTCCTTCCAAACTTGAGGTCACCCATATAATTGCATCGACTAGTGGTGTGTTTGGTTGCTCACATAAACTCCAAACAGGCTGAGTGGATGCAAACAAAATCTGTTTGTTTGCTTGTGATATGCGCTGGCCCATGTTGTAGTCAATGTGGCCTAGAACCTGGCTCTAGGG